GCAGAAGCTACATTAGACTGACTAGTGATTTGTCTCAAGCTGTCTCTTCTACACTTTTCCACCAATTTCTATCAATTGTATCAGCATATGGATGGGTATGATTTTACTGTTCAGATGTGAGGCTGGTCTGAATACCCCTATTGAAACTGCAGGAAATCTAGTGTTAGAGATTCTTATGCTTAAATGCGCAAATAAAACCTCCATCCCAAAAATACCAGTAGTCCCAAGTGACTTCTAAAAAATTCAATCTTTGGTAAAGAACATTTGAGCCCTTAGGATTCTTACACATTCTGAGAACTGAGGGGCTTCAAGATGAAACAATTACACTGAGCCGTATTGGGGGGAAGGGAGATGAATACCCTAAACCTATACATTTGTAAACAGGACATGAATAGGTACAAGAAAAGTTGAAAACTGCGACAGTAAGGGAATGAAAGGGAAGTGAATTCAGCATTTGTAAACCTTACCTTACTGTTCCTTTCCAAGCAATTTTGCAGCCAAATGTGATTCTCATGTTGATCTAGCAGCATTATGAGCAGGTTGAACTTGGACAGTAATGGGCTCCAGTATTTATCTTGCAGCCTGGTGATGACATTGTTTTCATGGCACAAGAGCTCGAAAAAGTATTTCTGCAGAAAGTTGCACATATGCCCCCAGTCGAGAAAATAGTGGTGGCCAATAAAGGGAAAAAAGGGGGAAGAAAAACAGACGGTAAGAAATGCTTGACTTGATATTTCTGAACAGATGATATTGTTTGCCGAAGTGTTTTGGTAAAACCTTTATGATTGGACAGAAGCCTCTCAAATTGCAGTTGCTTGGAAAAAAGTAATCAGTGACTGTAGACAGTTTGGTATCGGGTCTTAGCAGTTTTTGCAGAACTACTGCCGGATAAAGAACATTGCCCTTTTCAAGCTGAAATTCCAGAAAAGCCCACGAGAATGAGGTTGGCAACCATACACCCGTGGAGGGAGGGGCAGGTCTAATGAGGTCATTTGCAAATGTGGCCCTAAGCCAAAGCAAGTGCACTCTTCTCTTAAGCAACCTGATGATAAATAAAACTTAAACACTGACCCTGTATATTAACTGCTTAAAATACAAAGGTGTCATTCATAAGAATATCTCTAAATTATTTTGTTATCAAATAGGATTGTGGTAAAACTGTGGATTGGCCCAATCTGTTGAGCATAATTCTGTACACTAATAATTGAATGCATCGTGCTCTCCACATATTCTAGAACACAGCTACTGGTGCCTTCTTCTCTTTCTGGCAATCTGATTTTTCTTTCTCTTTACTTCCTTACACACTAAGCTCCTAGAAGGAGAGCAGATTATTCTTGTCCGTAATTGTTGTTCCAAAGGCTTTTTGAAATTAGAGCCTCAATTGCTAATTCCTGACATCAGTACATTCTTGTAAATTCTCACTCATAGGTTTCTCCCGTTGCCTTGTTAACATGTATAGTAAAGCTGTGCATCGTGTCTGAGTTGCTAATATTCTGTAATGTATATAGCCACATCTTCTGTACTTATTAGACAATCATCGGCATTAAAATTGGCCATAATAGTTATCTTCTATTAATGTGCCATTTTTCAGATACTAATATACTGTTGGGGGAAACACCAACATTTAGGAGTCAAGGATCCAAAGTGTTTCTTGTTTTGGTCATATAGATGTCAAATATCCACAGATATATTCCTGTTGGAGTCTATGGCACCCAAATCTTGTCTTGTTTAAGGCTGAAGAAAAGCAGATTGCTATGGTTATATATGAATGCTATAGCTTAAATCGTGGTTATTGTATAAGATGGTGTAGCCTTGTAGGCTATATAGCAGCTACCCTGGGAAAGAATCACAATGGACAGCTTAGTCTCTTTATGTTTTAATGCTACTAGGAGCTCATCACTAACACACTTCCACTTCATTTTCCTAGCTGCTGAGGAACCTGATGCAAGGATTTCACAAATTCAACAAAATCAGCAGACAAGAACATGCAGAAAAGCCAAGCAGTTCCAGAAGACAGCAACACCACAACTGCAGACCCCAGAACCTTCCCCTGTGTCTCCATCTTCAAATGTCATGCCGACTACTGAAATGGTTACCAAAGTAAGTGAAAAGAGTTAAAGAGTTCTTTATGTTTCAGCAGTCAGGAGCTGTGAGGTCGATTGCACACTGGCTTCAATCTCTTGTTTAGGAAGTGGGGAGTAGAAATGCTCATGGTATAGAACTGCCCGATAAGAACTGGAATAAAACTGATGTAGAGGTACCATCTTGAGGAAGACTGTTTTAGATAAACACTCACTGCTCAGAATAGTTAGTCTTTTAGAGGTAAAAGTAGTATGTGTCTAAAAGTATTAGACTACAAAAATATAAACTTCCAATAGTATATAATGAGGAAAAGTGATATCCATTCATTTATTCATTTTCTCTCTCTCCCCACCCTCTTCCTCACTGAAATGATGGTACAATATAGTGTTTAGGCCAAAGAGTGGCCTGTAAACTCCAATATAGTTTTTAAAATTATATTTTTTATTGTACATTTTTTGGATGAAAAATGAAGGGCTCCAATTAATATATTAGGAAGTATCTCTGTAGAATCAGGGGGGGAAAGGAGGACTAAAAAAAAAACCTGCCTGGGTACTATAGTTAGACTTCGGCTGTTTTATTCCAAAGGATCCTAAACCAGATTTTAAATGTACAATTCTCTCTTTAATAAGCTATGTTTCTGTACTGAAAAGGGTGTGAAAAGGAAAGCTGATACCACTACGGCAACCCTCACTGCAAGCAGTGAGTCCTCTCCGGCACCCCATGAACCCAAAATAACCAAGATCTCCACTAGAGAAGAATCTGACAAGTTCCTATCCAAAAGAGCCTTACCAGATTCATGGCAGCCACCTGAACCCACAAAAAGGACAAAGCTAACAGAACCACTGGAATACTGTAACAAAATCCTTATAGAAATGCTTTCAAAACAGCACACCACCTATGCTTGGCCTTTTTATAAACCAGTAGATATTACTGCCTTGGGCCTTGAAGAATATCACAATATTATTAAATGTCCTATGGATCTTGGAACTATTAAAGTAAGTGAATTTGGCATCGTAAGTGCAGTTGATTGTTCTATATATTATGTCATTTTAAAATCAGTGTGACAAGTAATATTCAGATAGCCATCACCTATTCTGTATCAGCTTCTATCTGTCATTTCCTTTAATATCTTTCCCTCCAACAGGTATCTAGCAAAATTTATGGGACTGAAAGAATGTCTCAACCTGGTCTGAATTAATGTATTGTCACGTGAACTGTGGTGCCATGCCAGTTATTAATTGTATTGTCTTTGTATAAAACAAAACAAAACACCAGGCAATATAGTAGTGGTGTAGAAACAAAAGGCTTTGGCACAGATCCTGTCAAAGTGAAGGTCTGATAAAATATGAACTTGAGCAAAATGGTGGGAGAAAAACAAGATGTACGGCAATATAGAACAGGTGATCCAAAGGTGTTTCCAGTTATTGCTTCAGTTATCAGTACCGTAATGGTACTGATACAAAATTAGGCAGTATATCAGGGAATACTGCCTCTCGGAAAGTAAAATTAAATATAGTATTACATGTTTGGGAACATATGTTGTAAGTGTAATGTTACAGAAACATATATGTTAGCAATGATGACCACAGAACTTGGCACCTTGACTGTGTAATTTTGCTTAATCCGTGTTCTAATTCAGAGCACTGATATCTCTATATTGTTTTACAAATAGAAATATACCTGGCTTAAGGAATTCTTCTATTTTTCACAGAAGAAAATGGACAATTATAAATATAAAGACACACAAGAATTTGCTGCTGATATTAGGCTAATGTTTATGAACTGCTATAGATATAACTCTCCAGATCATGAAGTGGTATCAATGGCAAGAAAACTTCAGGTGAGGTATTAACAATGAAAAAACTGCATTTCTGGGATCCAAGTGAAAAAATTGCAGTAAGGGTTACTGTGCAACCCAGTACTTAGCTGGAGAAGTGTTGCTGCCTGAAATAAAGAACAAGCTGCCCGTTGAGTCCCATGTATGTTAACCTGCCCAACTAGCAATTAAACTGAACTTCTATTCTGGTGATGATGCAACATCCTCCATTGCACCCAAGAGTGGACAGGTCAGCTTATGGATGTAGGGCAAGCTACTTGGTACACACACATACCTGTTCTATTGCTACTTACAGCTCATCCCTGTCCTCCATCCTTGATCGAGCGCTAGAACCTGCCTTTCAGTTTTGCTTACTTTTGTAGCTGGTGCAGCAATTGCGCCCTGGGTTAAAATTCCTACACTGCAGAAGCTATTTAGCCCTCTGCCACGGAGAAGGTTTTAAAGCTAACTAACTTTCTTCTGTGAAGGATGTCTTTGAGATGCAGTTTGCCAGAATTCCAGATGAACCGGTTACTGGTAGGCCTCTGCTGCATTCCACCACTAAAAGCACCACTTCTATTTCGAGTGACAGCAGCTCCAATGTCTCCTCTGACGAGGGCTCTGAAAAAGAACAAGCGAAACGCCTTGAAGAGCTCCAAGAACAAGTAAGTGGCTGTGTACTGGTTCTACACAGCTATATTTTGCTGTGTTTGCAGTTAGTGAAAAGGGTGGGCTCATTTTGTGTGTGGGGGTAGGGGGTGAGAAAATGTGTAGGAGAGGAGGACAGAAGGAATTCTGTGAATTATGCTGAAATTACTTTCTTATTAGAAACCACAGAATTTCTAATAATGCTTAATATTAAGAATTATATTAATATTTCTTATTAGAACTAACAGGAAATAAGAGATTAACCAGATTCTTGGTTACATTAACAATTGTTTTATTCAGGTAACAAGACATTTCTATGTTTGCATTCCCACTTGGTGAGAAAAAAATATTGCACATTCCTTATTTAATTTCACAACACAATGAGATCACTAGTCCATTGTGTAATAATGTATTGCATGATTTTCAAAAAATTCAGCGTCAGCGGGATGTAACTAGTGCTGCTTCACTAACTATACTAACGCTCTGCTTACCTGATCCTCATAATTATAAGTTCCTGTCAGCCCGACACAGTCTACAAGATCAGGAAATCAACTCTACGGGAAGGCTAAAATTATTTTTTTTGAGAGTGACTATAATAACTTGCAAGTCTGATTGAGCTATATACTTCCTTATACTTCTGTGAATTTGGGAGGTGTCTGTCAGATCCTCTTCCATGTATTTTCCGGCTGTTGTGGATTTAAGATTTTTTTCACCCCTTGTCGCTTTAGTAATGGATCTTGCATATCTCCATCAAGGTCATCTTCCTTACTATTTACAGATTCTTACCTTGTATACCAACCCATAGAAGGAAGACAAGGGAGTGTTTGAGGGATTTTTTTTTTAAATGATTTTGAACTTTTACTTGGCTCATTCCAGCTGAAATATTTATCAGTAAATAATTGTGTTCTATACTAACCTTCCATGCTGGCAAGGAGACATAATTAGGAGGGTGCCAAGATAGAAAATGATGCTATAGATATTGAAGCAAAGTCCTCTCTCTGTTTTGATACGTGGTCTTTTCCTTGCAGTAAATGTCAGTTTGGGTATTTTTCCCAAGCAAGATGCTATATTTTTCACTTAAAAAAAAGTCTGTATGTGTTTCATAATACTTGAAGTTGTTCTCCAGCTAAACAAGAGCCATATTTTTCCCCCACATCATCTGTTTGCTCATAGAAACTGTGTTAGTTCCTAAATATTACTAATCCTTTATTCCTGTCTAACAGAAAAACTAGGAGGGGGAATGCAAAGGGATGAAAGGTTTATACTATGCTATGTGGAATTTCAGTATTCTTGAACTGCAGGCTAGAGAAGCAAATGAGAGAGAAATAATTTGGAGGACGTACCCACTGCCCATCACGATTCTTTTTAAGCCTCCCTGCTAGCATTCCATTTTAAGTGTAGGTCTCTTTGTGTATTCCTGTTTTTTTCACAGTGTCTAGTCCTGAAATTAAGAAACTGTTCCCTAAGGGGGGGGGACGGGGGGGACGGGACTCCCAGCCATAGTTCCTAGCAATTTCTCATCTACTTCCTATCCAAGCCCCTTTAACCAAGCTTACTACCACAGCAGTTCCCTCCACTACCACAGAACCAAGCATACCCAAGTTCCTTTGAGATATGAACAGATGACACACATTTTCTTTCCTGCATCAGAAGCAAAGATTGAGAATAGCTCCAGAACCCACTGACATAAATACTGAGGTTGGCTCGATGCAGAAACCATACATCATTCATTTCAACAAGTTCTTTATTTGCCAAGGAGCATGTTCCAAACTTTCTAATTTAAGCATGTGGGCTTCTGAGAATAATGCAGCTTCACATGCCAGCTCGTCCTTCAGTCATGGAGATTTGGCCTTCACTCTACCAGCACTAATGCCAACCTTTGCAAAATGGCATTTTGCCACACAGCATACCATCTGAGAGGTTTGCCTGGGGCCAAGGGGGCTTTCCTATCTGTCACACTACTCATCTTTTCCTTGGCTAATACTTCCCAATGCAATTTAAGGCCAACTCACAAATGGCCTACATGTTTCAAATGTTCTTAGCATCATATTATCACTATACAGTAGTTGCAAGTTCAGAGTTCACAGAAAACACCTTCCATCATAGCTCAGTCCAAGCTAGCAAGTAGCTGAGGATAGCGACTGCAAACCAATCAGGACTTTCTGTCTCTGTTTCTATCTAACTAACTCCTGATTCTCCCATGAGCTCCCAGGGTTCCATTAATTAACAAATAACCTGCCTTTCTCCTTTTGGAAACAGAGAATAGGTTTCTAGCATCTCTTTTTCTCCCACACAAAATAAAGTCATTTGCCTATCAAATCTTAATTGGTAATTTACAAAACATATTTCCCAACAGGCTGCTATGGGGGAGATTACAATGGCAGATACAATTTTGAATTGCTAACAAATGTACTGAGAAGCCCATAAGCCTTATGTTCATCATAACATCAGATCAGCATTGCAAAGTGAAGGTGGCATTCTAGGGAACTCTGCTAGTGTATTCTCCCAGCAAATTCTAAAGGAATTGCTAAGCATTAAACTCTGTGAGAGCAACATTTTAGCAAAATTGTATTGGTGGGCTTTTCCTCCTAACCAGGCTGAATGAAAAATTAGCTGAGGGAGAGGTCTATACAAGGGACTTATTCTAGCGGGGAAACATATGAATAAAGCCGGAATGAATTTATTGCAATACACATTTCATCTGTGTCTGAAATGGGGGGGGGGGGGAAGAATGTAAGTGAGATTTCCAAAGGGGATAAAGTAAAGGAATTGGAGATTTTGGAAACTGTCATTGCATCAGTACTGATTTGCAGGTAGTGTTGTATGACAGATGGCATGGAGCCCAAAAGGCAGAGAAAAATTAGCCTGTGCAAATGCTCGCTGTTTTAGTTCACAAAGAGGAAGTGGCAGGACTTCTATAATTATTTTTGTTGTCAATTTAGGGTATTTGGTTTGCTCTCATTGCGTGTAATCAAAAAGGTGTTGGTGGAAGTTATAATTATTCACGGGTCCAAGCACGTGAAAGAACTTAGATCCTCCACAGCCAAATGATGGGAAAGGAGCTACAAAGAAAATAAATTTTAAAATGCCAAGTATCTTCCACATAAGCAAGTTGCTCACAAAAGTGATGAGAAAAAACCCTCTAGGAAAGAGGAGCAAAAGGTCTCTATCTTCTCTAGCGCTCTCTCTCTTTTGAGAACAATCTTAGACCTTGTTTGTGCACAAGGTGTGAATCTAATGGCACTGACTGACTTTTCAGCACCCCATGACTTCCAGACTACAAGGGGGGTAGCGACATAGAGATAAAGGGTTAAGAATGTATTCTATGCCTCCTTTTTGTCTGTCACTCTGCCTGATCTTTGTCTAAGAGATTACCAATCTCAGGGCACTCCCTTCTGCCTTTCTTCTCAGACACACATGCATGGAGTATATACTCTTTCACTGCCCTCCTAGTTAGGATGCAGTTAGCTAGGTGCTGGGCTTTGCTTTAAGGTATAAGTAGTCCTCACTTAACAACAGTAATTGGGACTGGGAACTCCGTCGCTAAGCGACATGGTCTTAAGGCACAACGTCATGTGACCACATCGATTTACCCAGTTGCCATCGGTAGGCGAATCTCTTGTGGTTGCAGCATCCCACAGTCACATGATTGCCATTTATTACTTCCTGCCAGCTTCCCCATTGACTTTGCTTGTTTGAAGCTGGCAGCGAAGGTCACAAATAGCAATCACGGGACCATGGGATGCTGCAATGTCATAATTGCAAGCCATTTGCCAAGCTCCTGAATCGCAAACACATGACCGCAGGGACACAGCAACAGCCACAACTATCCCTTGTTCCAGTGCTGTCATAATTTCAGACGGTTGCTAAATGAGTGGATGTTAAATGAGGACTACCTGTAATGTAATTACCTGTAATGGAAGTTCTATAAATACACCTCTTTTCCTGTTATAAAGCTTGCTTCACTTATTGCTCAAGTTAGAGTACTCTCAAGAACACTCACATGCATACCCAGAAAACTGCAACTTTCAACAAATCAGATTTTTTTAGTGTCCCTCTCTCTGTGTCTCTCCCTAGCTTAAAGCTGTTCACCAGCAACTGCAAGCCTTGGCTAAAACAAACTTACCCAGATTGAGAAAGAAGAAGAAAGGAAAATCTAAGAAAGAAAAAAGCAAAAGCAAAATGAAAACCAAGTCCGGAACTCAGAAAAGCAGAAAGATGAAGCAAATAAAAAAGCTGAAGAAGAAAATGTCTTTGAACATGTAAGGCTGCTTGTTGGCTTGAATTTGTACTTAAAGTTGCTGGTACTGGAGTTAACGATGGTTTATTTTCTCTCTTGCAGTCATTCGAAGAAAATCAAGCAGCAAGAAGAACTAGTATTCAAGTCTGAGGATGAGGATACTGCCAAGCCAATGACTTATGATGAAAAGAGGCAATTAAGTCTGGACATAAATAAACTCCCAGGGGAGAAGCTTGGCAGAGTGGTATATATTATTCAGTCAAGGGAGCCATCACTGAGACATTCGAATCCTGATGAAATAGAAATAGACTTTGAAGCTCTCAAAGCATCGACTTTACGGGTACTGGAGAAATATGTAATGGCTTGCTTGAGAAAAAGGCCCAAGAAACATTATGGTGTGTTATGCAATATGCACAAAAAGAAAGGGGAAACTGTATGTTTTTTCTAGACAATTGCTTGGATATTGTTCCTGATAGTTATCTCCTCCCCCTTCCCTTTACATACAGCAAAAAAACCAAAAGACCAATTTACTTTGGAGAAGCAACAAGATCAGAGGTTGCTGGATATCAATGGGCTGCTCTGCTCAATCAGGCAAAATGCAAAATGTAAGTGAGCCCTTTCTAATGAAAGAAGGGTGTAGGAATCTGGAAGGGTAGAAACATTGCCATAATCTCCTTGCGCTTTATCCAGTAATATACTTTTCTGGAATGCACCATAGGAAGAAGTGAAGCAATTGTGCTCTGTCCTATGGCAGCCTTTATCAGCATAAAAATGCCAGTTAAGTCCACATCATTTACTTTTGCTTGAAGGTTGCTCCTTTCTCACCAACTTCCAAGACAGAAGCTTTGTTAAGTTCTTCTCTATGTCTTGCAGCTGAAAATAATGCTGTATCAAAAATCTACGGAAGGCCTAGTCGGCTGAGCGAAAGCAGCAGCAGCAACAGCAGCAACGCCTCCTCTGCGTCTGAAAGCACCAGCAATGATTCCAGCACATCCGACAGCAGTGATTCTGAATCAGGTTCTTTTACTAATATCCTTCAGAAAGAATGGCTCTGGCAAACGTCCTGTATACATTTGATCTAGAAAGCTAAACTCCTGATTAAGTTGTGTGTATATGTGTGTGTGTGTGTAATTTTTATTGAAAGATTTAACAACAATAATAAGAACTAATACAAGCTAAAATAGAACAAAGAAGAAGAAAAAGAAAGGGAGAAATAAAAGAAAAAGCTAAAAGTGCAAAAAGAAAAAGTAGAAGAAAGGTAGAAAAAAAGAAATAAAGAAGTGGCTTCTGATCTTCTTCACAGCAGTCATAAGTACAATTATATTTTAACCTCTCTCTCTAAAGATACATCATAATTCTCTTCTTTCTATAATCTGTCCTGTCTAATCATCAAAACCATAAATCACATTCTTTTTTTTCTTTTTTACACAAGAAGTCCAACTCCTGATTAAGTAGTCTTGAAGAACTTTATTCATACTCTCATCCATAACTTTATTCTGCTAACAACCAACCTTGGGAATTTCCTGGAACAGCATTGACACAGAATACTGTATACACTGCAGATTCTAAGCATGCTCACTCAAAAGGCATTTCTATAGAACTTGCTTCCTGGAAATACATTCCAGAACAGTGTTTCTCAACCTCAACTTGGCTTCAACTCTGCTGAGGTTGAGAAACACTGTTCTGGAATTACAATACCTAAGTTTCTTTTGCACATTAGACAACATGCACTGATGTAAATTTAAAAGCAGAAGGCATCATAAAAATAAAATGGAAGGACTGTAGCTCAATGGCAGACTTGTAGTTTGAATATATAGGTCCAATAATTAGAATCTGGCAGTTGGTTTAAATCGTTTAGGGCCATGGTTGCATAAGCCTTCACCTTTAAAGTAGTCAGAGAAATATCTATTTACTTTGATGCAAACTAAAACAATTTACATGCATCAAAATATATTGTATCCAGTGTGATTTCATATAAAATTAGAGATGTGGGGAAAAAAACCAGTATTTGTGTGAAATTGGTCAGTTTGTCCACTTAGCATCTGGTATTTGGTTAAAAATAGAGTTCCAGTTTGCTTCTACGTAGAAGGATTCTGGAAATGACAGACCAGGACAAGAACATTTGTAATAAATAAAATAAACACATTTGACTCATTGGTATGAATGGCAACATTTGTAGGCATGGAGTTTCTCAGATTTGCCAGATATACTTAATGTAGAGTAAGATATAGTTGATTTAAATCTCCTACAGGATCATGACTATAAAACCTTAATAACAGATTTGTGGCAGCCTTGGACAAATTTCCTTCTGGTGAATTTTCTAATCCATCAATGGATTTTTGTGGATTTATCTGGTGTTTATGACAACTTTTAATCTAACTGCTGCCTTAATTTCTCTAGGGAATCTTGAAGTAGTCCACAGTATTTGGCCTATAGTTGTGCTATAGCAAAAGGGACAAGCTGGACTGGCAATAAGCTTTGTGAAGATGTTGGGAGTATCAGGTGCTGACATCCCTACATAGTTTCCACACCGCAACATAGAGTTCACCCATGTCCCCAGTTATTTGAATCAGACTTCTAGGAGATGTGTAAAATGTGTGAAATAAATTTAATGGGATAGTGAGAAGTGCCTATTACATCTTAGAAAGATCTTTGCTGGAAATGCCACAAATGATAGAAGAAATATGGAATAAGGGGGCTTTACAATGAATACTATGTCTGATGGCAAATGTGCATAAAATGTCACTATATATATGTACGCTATAAACAACTGACTTTTGCCATTTTTTTACAGAAGTATACAAAAAACAAAACGGAAATGGGAAAAAGGATTTGTTTTGCAGAGAACAGCTTAAGGTAAACTTTTCTCACCTTGCAAGCCCTAAATTCTTCAGCTTGGGCTTCTCCACTGCTTCTGATTTTTCAAAATGGCACTCTCACAGAAAGACAGCTTTTTATACAGAACACTTGGCATAAAAGATTCGTAAAACACAAAATGTCTATAACGGTTTTGATTTCTTCCACATCAGATCCCGCTGCATCATCCAAAGATATCCTGCGATGTTGTTCCTCAAATATGGAACACTTCACCTATCAGCAAGCTGACTCAAAGAGCAACCGAAGCCAGGGCCTCCCACCGCTCACTGCCACACTCTCAGCCTTCACAGCACAGTCCTCTTAAACTACAAGAACAAACCCTTGTTTCTCCTTCAGGTAAAACTTTCTCTAGGAATTCTAACGCTCCGGTAGGATGCACTCCGTTGGTTTTCAGAGCTGCTCAAAAATACATTTCCATAGTTGGGAAAGTGGAAAAGTCTATCTGGAATAACGTGGTTCTGCTTCTTTGAGAAGGGTGGGTATTGCAGGGTGGATTTGGGGGATTTTTGACTGAGAGAACAGTGGAGACTTAAAGCATCTTTGTAATATTTGCCAGAACCTACAAATGGACCAGCAAAGCCAAAGCATGTGCTTTAAAATAAATGCTGTAAACTGCCTTCTGAATCAAGGAAAAAGTGGGTATGCCACTCAGACACAGTACTTACATATTTGAAAAGTAAATATATGCAAATATTCGGGTCCAAAGACGGTGATAAAAAGGGTATGCTGCTATGTTGTTCTTTTTTTCTGAGAGAGACCTATCCCAAAAGGTGTTCCATGTTCAAACAGCTCATGGAAGGAGGCCTGCACATGCACACACGCTTCCAACAGATTGTGTTTGACCCACAATCTATCTGACACATGTTTCAGCTCCTTGCAGGCCTGCCCTCCAAAACCATTATTTTGGAAAATATTTGCATGATTTCCCCTCCCCCCCAACTTCTCTGTTTCTACCTGAAGCCTTTACATTTGCTCAGCTACTTTATATATCAGCAAACTGGGTGCTCTGTACGGAAGCTTTCTTCTTATGTGCCTCCCTTCCTGGAGATGCTTTTCGTGTAGCTCTGTCCTCTCAATCTCAGATGAAACCTCTGGGATTGTGACGAGGCAGTTAAAAGGGGTTCTGCCCACGGTTCATCCAGCTCAAAAGCACTAACTGACTTGAAGCAATGCAGAGTTACAAGTTTGCCGCCTTCTCCCTGTGAATGAAGCTGTCGCAGTGGCTTTTCTAAAAGTGAAGAGATGTAACATGGCATTGGCAATCTTCTATGTGTTTCCCTCCTTGCAGGTGTAGTAGCGGTTGTGTCACCCCTGCACTGCACTCCAGTTCAACAGGCAACTCAGGGTGACTTAGTGGCAACCCAGGCTTCTAACAGCCCTTCTCCTCACGTGCTTGCAGAGGTGGATATCACTGATAATTTTGGGAAACAAAGTGGCTCTTTATTTAAAGTTTATTCTTTATATTATTTATTTATATAGATATAAATATATATAATTTTATTATATATATTTATATTTATAAATATATAAACATAAATATATATATATATATAATAAAAAACCCTTATTTACAGTGTCTTGACATTTTCAGTGATTTGCATTTATGGACGATCCTTAATGAAGGGTGGTTTTGGTAAGTGGAGTTGCTCTATCTTCACGTGGCTAATGCTGGGTTGGAGCCGGTATTTCCCTTTTTCAATAAACAAAACAAAACAAAACAAAAAAAACTCATCACCCAATTAATTATTACAAGTTTACTAAAAGTTAATTGATTAGGAAGAAAATTTGTTGCCTTTTTTTTTCCTTCTTCACTGGAAAGTGTCAGCTTTCCTGAACCAAAAAAAGGGGGTTTTAGAGGGGGAAGACTAGAGTTAGAAAGCACTTCGTATTTTAAAAACTTGCTTTGCAGAAGTCGTGGGAATAAGTAGCATTAGACAATCTTGGAGCACTTCAGCCTTAAGCATTTTTATTTTTTCATCCATGAAATGAAGCTTATCCAATAGAGATGCATAGGGGTGGGAGGAGGGAATTCAAAAAGGCATGTCAGCCTCTCCATCTGTATGCAAAACCATTGTAGGGTGAGGGACCTCTACAACTGTGATAAAGTTCCTTTAAGACTTTAAAACTTTCCTGTAGGTATCTTGTTCTTCCTCTCCTAATAACGCTTCAGGCAACATGAAAGATACTCAGAAACCATCACTATTGCATCAGGGGCAGCCATCTGTTCTTCACATTAAATCCTCTTTGGGAATTGTCAACTTACCAGCTACTGACCAAGAACAAAGTATGTATTGGCTACAAATATTAACATCACATACTAATGCTCTCACCATTTCCACGCCCCAAGCCCCTGCAAAACAATATGAAGCTGAACCGTGACTGCATCATAGCTGCACAATTCAAAATGTAGAGAATCACTTTACAGGCAGGTAAAGGAGGCGGGGGAAGTCAAGGGTCCCCGCTATGGGAGAGAAAAGAGGCAGGGCTAGATGTCAGTTCCTGCAGATGGGGGAAATGGAAGCTCTGCAGAGCTGCAGCACCTCGAAAGGAAAAGTAGGGTTGCTGTGGCTAAATGTTTGGGACTCATCTGGTCTAAATACTGTGATAAAAAGGGCACTTGGGTTTTGCTGGTTTATCCACCAATAGTTACCTAAAATTGGTAATCTACGAAAATTACCCTATGGAAAACAATAACACCCTTTCCTGGACCAGGAGGCCTTGCTCACAGTATTCATGCCTGAGTCACTTCCTGTTTGGATTACTGCAATGCATGCTATGTGGGGCTGTCCCTGAAGACTCGGAGGCTACAACTGGTCCAGAATGCAGTGGCAGGCACAGTGCTGGGTGCTTCTAGGTCTGCCCACAGTACACCTCTGTTGTGTGAGCTGCTGCTTCCCAGTTTTCTTCCGGGTGCAATTTAAGGTGCTGGTCATCCCTGAGAGTATCTGCCCATCCTACCGGATTGCCCTCTCCCTATTGATCTGGCAGGCCCCTGCCCTTTTAGCTTTCCGGAAGGCCATCAGGACCTGGCTTTTTACCCAGGTGCTGGGGTAGAGTGACGGTGTCTTAACTTGGTTGTTGGGCATCCCAAGGAAATGACTGAGGTGCCAGGTTTTGTTTTATTCCTAGTAACTCACCCTATTCCTGAAGACATTCCAACATGTGGACATTGCATGCTGCTTAGCATATGCCTTTTCCTAGCAGAGTAAGTAGCACCTGGCCACAAAATTACAGTGCCCAGCATGCAATGTCCACAAACCTCAGTGGGAATGTATATGCAAAAGAATGACATCCTGAAAAACTAGGCTGCTGTTTCCTCATTACCAACAGTTCAGCTCATGTCTTCTGGTGGTCTTTTAGGAGTTATTTATTTATTTGTTTAGGAAATGGACTAGATGAACATGCACATCATGTGCATATACTGAAAACATGAGGGAAAATAGCAATTCAATATTTTTTCCCCTTTCTGCATGGAGATGGTGAGGATGTATGGTACTCCAGGAGCTGCTGTAGCTCCAGCAGTGAGGTACTGATTGACTGCACTCATCCCTTGATTGAAGAAAGCCCCAAGAGATCATGTTCTTAGCATTCAGAGGTTGGCCGGAGTCACGTCGCTGACTTCATTATGCTTTGGAGGAAATGGGGTCTGGAATCAATGCTGTGTGGAAGTGTCCAGAGATACCTATGGCTACAGGGATATACCGGTGACTTGGTGTAAGAAGAATAACATATGAACATTGTGCATTACAGTGGCTATGAAGCAGCAAATCTGCACTGTTGGTTAACTACTCTTAGTTACTGAATCCCACCATTGCCCTGAAAAAGTGCCTACTTGGGATGGAATACAATTGGAATGCTTAAGGAGCATAGAGCTACTGTTATTTATTTACTTATTTTTAGGATTATTTATTGGCTACATAGAGTTTGGCATTGGTATATGCACATCAGAACCAATCAGTGCAATTCGATGTATAGCACGGTCAAGAAATTATTTTGCAGCATAATACTTTTTAAAGGCTTATAACTGCACACATCGCCATTTTTCATTTAGACAAGGAAACCAAAGAATTTTAAAATTTACAGCATTGCTAGATGTGGGGGATGCCCTATTTTTTGAGAGAAGGTGGTAGCAGTTGGCATGGAGAGCTTTACATTAAATACAGGGTTGCAGGCTTTTCTTCCTTGGGGAGCCTAGAAAGAGCATCACAAGAGGCCAAATGGTCCGTGTTAAAGAGAGGAGGGGGAGGAAATGAGTAACGGAAAATGCGCACCTTCTACACTCAAGCAGGCATCTGAAAATAGAAAGCTGTAGCCACATGGGGCGTTCTTGCTCTTCTGCTTACTTGGAAACTATGCAAAGTAAACAAGGGACAGATAAAGCCTCCAGAAGGCTGTCAAATGGAAATATACTCTGTAATTAAAACAGATAAGAATGCTGAAATTGATAGCACTTGAGTGAATGTTTCTACCTAATAACAAAAACGAACGGAGGAGTTCTTCACCCTCTTGGAAATTCACTACCCAGTCTCTGCTTCTGCTTACATTCCAGAGCTGAAGACCAGTTTTCCAGATGGCCATTGCAGACAACGGATGACAGAATCTGCACATGCCACTATTACAGAAAGATGTTCTGATAATTGTGAGGATAAAAAAGAGAAAGAGGCTAAACCTCAGATTCCTCTAGTAAAGGTAATAATGTGCTACCTTCTGCAATAGCTTTGGACGTTACCAGATGTGGCTTCAGATCCACATGACCAACAAATAGAACCCACTCCACCCTTTCCAATCAGTTGACATTGTCCCCAAGCACTTTCCTTCACCCCAAGCCCAGGCATCCTGCAACTCCAAACTTCTCCATCATTACAGCAGGAACAAACCAGGACTTGGAATGATGGGAAATCATTCAGCGATGCTGCTGAGGGATCTGGAGGATGCACAATCTCAGTTCACTTCTTCAGCTGATCTGAAGGCATGTTTAATAATCCCCACAGAATATCATGCAGGTGCAGAGAGCATTCTAAGGGCTGATTCGTATGATCTGTGGGAATGCTTTACACCTTGATAGAGATAGCTGTTCTTAGCCCCAAACAGTTATCTCCATCAAGCTGGTTTGGACTGATGCACAATGGGTCTCCATAAATTATATTTGGTATCCAGCAAAAGATGACATGCTGGCAACCTCATTGTATGACAGATGTTGGTATTCATGTAGTTAGAATTCCTTTTATTTGCAGCCTTTTATTTATTTTTGCTTATCCCTATTTGCTTATCCTAAAGAGGAATGGTAGGATGTATATGTACTGTATATTTATATATCAAAAAGTAAATCTATGTAGAGCTTTCACACCAGTGTCTTTGACCCTGCTGAGAAATTGTTTTACTACTAGCAGAGGTTAATATAATGGAAACAGTGATGCCAAATGATACTGTACTATTCAGCAGCATCAAGCTTCCGCTATGATATTTACTCAGAAATGAGAAATCAAATTTTTCAAAGATTCCCTACAACTTTGATTAGAAACTTTCTTCTGGTAATTATGCATTTAATTGCTTCCTGCTTTGCACAGTATTATTGATGAATTGTGTCTTCATCTGTATCCTTAAGAGCAAGAGAGGCTTTGATTGCATTTTTAAATTTGAATTTAATTAATAAAAATAAACAAAGAGACCTCTTTTAATAATGCCATAATGCCCTCTGCTAAACAGAAAACAATTACAGATCCACAAGCCATAAAGAAGAAGCACAATCTGAGTAAAGCCCTTTAAAAAACTCGTACTTTTTCTTCACCAATTAATTCTAAACAAATTGGTGTTGCAATTGCAATTCAAGTGACAAATATTGCAATTCCTGTCAAGCAAGCAAGCAAGCAAGGAAGGAAGGAAGGAGAGGGGCAGCAATATTGTCTGGATTTGTGATAAAAAAACAAGTGAAGAAAGCATATTTAGGGTAAAGGCCTAACAATAAAATCAATAAACCTGAAAGCAATGCGAATGTATGCATTGCAGTCTGAAAATCAGTTGATGGTGATCTAAAGCTCTTTGCTCTGGTTTACAGACTCTGGTTATATGACAGAAATATTTTATACACATTCTAACAGGCTGCAGTATTTTCACATATTGTCCATTAGAACAATAGAATTTGCAGGGCATTTCTTCTGCAAATAAATACAGTCTTAACAGGGGACAGATGAGGGCCACCTTGTTCTGTGTACTTGGGGAGTCCCATGTCAGCCGCCATTTCAAGCAGGAAAACACTGTCACATCAACATACACACAAAGGAGAGATGTAAATCAGTGGGTTGGAGATGCCCCACATACTACTAAAATCTTTTTTTCATTTTTCTTTTAGGCCCCCTACTAACTGAAAGCTTGGTTTGAAAAACATCTGTATCAGGGAAGAAATATTATTTCTTGATAAAACTGGGCTAGAATGACTAGGATTTGCCATTATTTCATTGGATGCATTTGCAGCCTTCTAGGCTATTTCTGTGATTCAATTTCTTCTCTTGGTTTGTTTTTAGGAACTCAATTACTGCCTTTCCCAAAGATGCTTCACGTAGATTAGGAGATTTGTTACACTTATATACATACAGTGTTGTTTAGTCTTAAATTGAGTCAAGTGAGGGTATTTTCATGTGGATTCTTTGGTTGTAAGTTATGTGATCTTATACCATTATCTTTGTTGTACAGCAGAGCTGATGTATTTCTGGGTCAGTTGAAGCATATCTAGAATGGCAGAAAAGGCCATCTTTTAATCTGAGCCCCTGAAGCTTTGCAGAGCCTTCCGACCGGTCAATTTCCCATTAGCTGTAAGTTGTTTCATTCTACCTTCCAGCTCATGGGTGGAAAACAATCTCATCCATCTGCACAGAGAGGTTCAGCTGCCATAGCATCATATGAAAATACGGTCATTTCAACCGAGCAACAGCGCCTTGGTGATTTTGCATCTCCTCCTTAGTAGAACAACTTATGGGGGTGGGGTGGGGATGGAGAATTATCAAGGAAATGCATACAGTGTGAACTAATAATGTGGATGTAAGGGGACAGGACACTGAATGCTCCTCTGTGCACTTTCTTATTGGATAGCTGGAAGGAAGAATTGATTTGTTCACGCTGATCTTAGCATTTCAAGTTCAGCTACAATAAACACAATCGCAGGTTAGCTTCATCTGCTCTGAGGGATTGGTGAAGGAATATGGTTGGTGATGTGGAAGTGCTCTGAGTTTATCAGGATGTAATGATTACATTAAAAAAAACACACACACCTCACACTCTACCTGCTATTTACGTTTGGGAATCCTGTCGAAAGTGGAAGACAGTATCTGCTTGTGTTTAGAACCACGTTGCTGGTTATAATTGCAGGATATAAAAGTCAAGCATGCAGATTCTTGGACAAGTTTAGGTAAGATGGTGCCTGCTCCAGTCTCAGTCAAATCGTCCAATGAAAGCTTCAGACTATTCCAAAAAGCCGCGCTAGAAAAAGAAGAAAGTGAGTGGGCAAAGGAACGAAAAAGGCAATTGGAGCAAGCTGAGAGGAAGTTGAAAAACCACCCTCAGGAAAAAGAGAGGTTTGTAATTCCATAGAATTAAACTGAAAGGCTCTATTTCACATGTCTATTAACTAACTTCGCATTGAGTGGTTTCCAGCTGCGTTGTTTTGTTGTTATGTGCAACTGATTGTTATGTAAGAGGAAGTAATTAAAGTTAACAGCAAGAGGACATGCTGATAAAATAGCAAATGTTGAACATTCTTTTCAGAATTAGCCTCCATTTCTAAATATGACTGGGTTTACACTGGAACAGAGCAGAATTATGTTTGGTGGAAACAATCACTCAAGCATGGGAAAATGGTGGGACAGCTTCATTGATAATAAATGTAAAAGTACCAAGCAGACTTTCACACTGTCTCATGGAATAACCTGTGGGATCAAGACCGGCAAAACTAAGGGTCTTTCCAAAGCTTTTAAATTTAAACACCCATTGAATTGGTGAATTGGTGTCACCATTTAAGTTACACTTTATTCACACTACCAATAAATAAATAACCCAAACCCCATGCTGTGAGCTTCCTTGATTAGAACAAATTGCCTATGCTACGATTTTTGGCTCACAAACTTAATGGGCTTGGGGAGAGTTAACTCTGATCATCCCTAGTAGCTTAGAATTGTTCTCCAACTGTGGTACCATGACACTCACAAGCATTTGCATGAGCCTCGAAGGAGAAAACTCTCATTAACAATGTATACTTAACACTGCCACTTTTAATTGGAAAGGAGCAAAGGTACTCTGAGTTGTGCTACCGAGCCCACTGTGTCCTCTGTGTGTTCTTCCCTTGCTCTCATAGCATTATTCCTAGATTAGTTACCATTTGATGAACGATGAAGTGCTTTAACAATATTTCATTTTGTTTTGGCTCCCGGAAACAATGGACAGGCATTCTCTCCATAGCCAATTCATTATGCATGTGTTATGTTTATTATTATTCATTGTAACCCTGTTTCCTTCCTTATGAAAGAGTGCTATGTAGCCTCTCCCCAAAGTCTGCTCTGCCCAGGTAGTCAGAACTCAAGTACAAAATAAGATTTTCTGTGCAATGGTAACAGCTATGTCGCTACATTTGTCAACTGTCATTTCAGCAATATCAGAACATCTTTATTCCCTCTTCCAGGATGTTTTGGGAGGGTGAGGGAACTTGCATTAATGTTGCTGCGTTGCTCCAATTGGCATCTGGTGGTAAAGGCATCCAGCATGCTGATTTTTAAGCCATCCCATCACCCACTGTAGTGACAATGGGCAAATCACTGTACCAAATCACTGCTGATTGTAAGTAAAGAATCGCTTTTGTGTGTGTGTGTTCATTCAAATGTGAAGCTTGCATATCTGACTTCATACACAACAGTTGTTGCCTGGTTTTCTTTAGAAACAGTAGAGAAATGGATTTGAAATCCACAACAGTAAAAGAAAGCTGCCCCATCCCAAAAGCAGTGGCATCTGGAAGAGAGCAACCACACTCAACACACATAGATCGTAATTTGGCAAGAAAACTGGAGCAAGAACGCAGGAGAAGAGAAGCGGTAAGCAACTGATTCATAGATCAGCTTAAAAATGTTGGTCCCCTAACACAACGAAAGAGCTGAGGATCAGCTTAATTTTTTTAATGAAGCCAACAGAACTTTATTGGCTTAAATTATCTGAAGAACCAGCTTAGAAACTGAGGCTGAAGGAGGTTGAGGGATCAATTTTTTTGCCTGATCTCAGCTGTTTCTTCTTCTTTTTCTTTTTCTGCCTTCATTTACTTTTAAGAATACAGCTTGCAGCAGGCCACTGAAAACCAAACATAGCTCTCAGTCCTAAAATAGTTGTGCACCAACAACTTTATTATCATTTTCCCACTTTTGCTTTTTACAGTTGGAAAGTTAATTGCATATTGATTCAGAATCCAATTCAGCAACGTTTACTTCAGACTGAGTTTCTTTTTTCCTCAATTCCATGCTGCTGTTGTTGTTTTTAACAGTTGACAAGCACCATTGACATGAATTTTCAGAGTGATGTTATGGCAACATTTGAAGAAACCCTGCAGTGAAAGGAGATGGATGATTGCATTGATTGCAGTTCTTCAAAAAGTGGCTATGGATTGCAGAAAATATTCCAAAGAATTGATCCCTGATATTGGAGCACCACTGTTATTAATCTTTTTTTAAGAGCTAGTGTATGAGTATAATTTCAGTTTTATAAAATTAAATTTGGTTATTAAAACCAAAAAAAGCCCATGCAAACTTCCGAGGCATAATTGGTCAGCCCTTCTGAGGAGGTTTTCTGAGTATTGTCGTAGATGAACTAAGCATTTTAAAACCTGTTTAAAAAAAAAAAAATTAAAACCAACCCAAATTTTATTTTAGCAAGTGATGAATTTAAGCAAAAGTATTGATGTGAGGGCTCAAATCTGGTGTTTAAATACTTCTGGAACGCATATGAAGACAAAAATAGTGGTTGGGGAGAGTACTTAAACTCTGGGAAGTAACTGATGTTTGTATACGTATAAATATATTTTTGTTATACTTAACATTTTAATAAGGGTATCTGCAGGTTAATTTTTGTCTTGCTCTGATTTTTGGCTAACATGTTTGTTGAAATATATATATTTTTTTGAAAATGGCAGGTTAACATTTTTAGCACATTTAGAACTGAAATCTATTTGATATGGAAAAGATAAATCCCTTTTTTTTTAGTAAAAATATGGGAGTGCATTGTCATTTGGTCTTTTGTGTGGTTTAAATTTTTATTTTTGTCTTGAATACAGACCTACAATCTTTTTTTTATTTGATAACAAAATTACATTTACAGCTTTCATATGATAATAAAATAAGTTTTCGTACTGGAGTGTAATCATTTTGAACCTTACAGAATGTTTTGCTATTTTAAAATAATATGCTATCCTAAATCAGTATTTTGTGCCAGAAAGCTACTGAAACGCTTAGGTCACAGTTTAGCCTTTTCAGTCTGAACCTCTATTCCAAAGAGATTGGTCAGTCATAACAATCATTGCTAATGAAAACACCAGAGTATTGTGGCAATTTAAAGATTTAACACATATTTATTATAGCATAAATATTTATTGAAGATAAATGTGTGGAGCATTAACATCAGAGAGATCTGAGGGTGGGGAAACAGTAAAGAAGTCAGTATAAAATAAAGTACAGGAAATATAGTTATAGTTGCATGATTTATAATTAGTATTCATGAAACAGGCACTCTTGCATTGGTGAAACATAGGGTTGGAAGAACTTTTTTCTGTTTAATCCACAGGAAACAGAGTTGAATTATTTGATGAACTCGTGTGCCACAAGGAAATCCTTATAATTCTTTTGCTCAAGAATGACCACCTCCATCATACAAATAAGAAATAGCCACTGGCCTGAATGAATTCATATTAAGTCATAGAAAAGTCACAGAGCTACACAAATGAGAGTGTTAATATGGGCAGGGCACACATTTCTGTAAATTAGTCTAATTTGTTTAGTATGTCATGCAAACCAAGTATGCACCACCTGGAAATTGATACTTCATTTCTGATTTTAAGATCTGGGATCATATTTATTCTTCTGTAGAAACTGTCTCAGACTGCTATGGGATACTGTTGACAAATGATAGCATCTTTACAAAATGAGCAAATGTTCTATATGAATCTCTGATATTGTGGATAATTTTATGTTATCCCTGCAATAATAGGCATGGAAATATATCATCATATATTTCATAGTCAGTTATTTTGCTCTGTACGGGGCAACTGCCACTCAACAAATACAAGTCTAAGAAAGAGAGATCTAGGATGAATCATTGATGATTCATTTAAGTGATTTTAGTCAGGAATTGTAGGTGACACCAAGTTGGGCCTGTTACATTCTCTTCTAGTGTATATTATAGCATATTATTTAACTATGCTGATTTACCTTGTTGGAATGTTTTCCTTATATGTTTACAATAAGTTTAAATTAAGGATTGATGAAAGATTTTTTATAATAGGAAAAGGCTAGCTCCTGTCATTATAAACAAATAAGCACATCATGCAGCAAAACCTATGTAAAGGAAGACACATATCTTATGTATAGAAAAACATAGGAAAGATAAAATGCCCATTTAAGGAAACATCTGTTTTAACTCTAGATAAGGAGGCATCTGTTTTAACTATAAATAAGGAGGCATCTGTTTTTACTCCAGATAAGGAAAAAATTGTTTGTAATAAGCTAACACATTCCATTCTAATAATGATTGGCTAAATCTTTTTTAAAAAGCTATAAAAAGGGAGACGGAGAAGCAGTCCATTGTGGCCACTGCCCAATGTTACTTTACAACCTTGGGCTGAATAAATATATTTTCTTTGACCTCCAGTGATCATCTGGTGTGTTTTATTGGATTCCTGGCTTGGGCACAAACTGCAGTAAAAGAAGGTGTCTAATCCTTCTGACAACATCAGTAATCTGTTTTTACCTCAATGTTTGGTTCTGTTTGGGAAATGTCTGAGTTAACCCTTCTAGCCTTTGGTCTGAGTCTGAACAGACACAGTACTATCACAGGGCATGGTCACAGACAGGCCTTCTAATCTCCTACATTTCTTTGCTGTTACCCCAAAGTTGGAGAAATTTTGTGGAATGTCATTCCATGAAATTCAAGGAAGGACTGCTGCCAGTAGAAGAAAAAAATGACAATAAGTTCTGGTACAACACTAGCCTTCTTATTTGAAAATCATCCTTTAAAATGAATTTGCAATTCCTCCACTTGGTCTTCACCACATGCAGATTTCAAATGCTTTTAACATGTGTCATTGGTTTGTTTGCACGTTTGGTATCTGAGCTGGTAAACAGTCAAGTAAAGAATGTCCCCAGTTCTCTACTTCAAACTTTCCAACTGCTGAACATTCTGCCCCTGGAGCTTTCTATACTCTATTGGTTAATTAGCAACCTTTCTCCTTCCTTCATAAAAAGATAAGCAAGTATGTACCTAACTCCCTCCTCATGCACACAGTTCATGTATTCATCTATTGGTTTGCAAACCACTTCTTCAGACTGCAAGGGAAAAAGGATTTCTGAAAGTATCAGCAAATGCACTGACAGGCCTGGAATGTCTTCATCTCACCATGGTGTCAGATCAGCCCTGCAGGTCAAGTGTGCCTCTCCCAGCAAAACGTGAGAGTTGTTGCATGGCTATAAACTAGCATGTCAGCAAAATTGCATTTGATGGCTTTTTTTTCCCAAGCTGGGATGGATGCAAAGCACCTGAGGAGGCACAGTTACAACAGACAATTTCTGCCATGAGAAAACAAATGCCCTAAAATACTGGTTAACTGGGAGGCAGGTTTTATCCATCTCTGAAGTGAGAGAGGCAAAAAAGGAAACAATGAGGAACTAGAGCTTTTAGAAGCTTGCAACACATTCACCCCTGGAACGCAGCTGAGAATAGGTGATCAGCAACAGAGATAGGGAAAACTGTTGGTGAACGAGCTTGTTCATTTTTACAGCAACTTTGGAAATCAGGAAGCCTCTCTAGCCTAGAGCCAACTTCACATATGCATGTGCTGGTCAGTTTAAGATAATATGCAGTGGGGGCGATGGACACTTGTTATGCTTAATCAGGATGGAGAACAACGGCTTTCTGTATATGAATGATCTTTGGCTATGCTGGCTGATCTGCTAGAAGTAACAGTTCAGTATCTGGAGGGCTACAGGTCCTTCAACCATGGACTATAAATACATCACTAAGAAGAGTAATGAAACAGCTATCCCCATTATCTTACTGTACTCTGCTACTCCAAGCTGTTTTCTCCCAGCCTGACTCATTTCTGGTATCTGAAGCAGAAAGCGTGCTGTCGAGGGAAGCAGAAAAGTATATGTATTGCTTCCCACTGCAAGATCACTCTCACTAAAACAAAATTGTTATTGTACAATAATTTATTTCAGCTGAATCTTGCAATCTAGAGGTGAAAAAATGATGTGGGCTCCATGCAGGAACAGCACCTCTCTCACTCTCTTCCTTTTTAATAGTTGTCCTGTCTGGAGGAAGGAAGGAATAAGTATAGTGGTTGCTAGGCAACTACTGACATTCCTCTACTACAACCAAAGCTGGAAGTAGGGAATGCCAGCAATGATGAAATGGCACTCATGTCTACAGCTATCAGATTCAGACTGCACAAACCCAGATGTCCATAGATGACTTTGCTCCCATCTAGTGGTTATCTGGATTTTTGCAGCTCAGATCTAGTAACCCTGCTCATGTCTTCCCATCCTGTAATCTGTTGTTTCCTTCCTTCCTTCCTTCCTTCCTTCCTTCCTTCCTTCCTTCCTTCCTTCCTTC